GCGGTCTCCTGGGTACTTCCCCCCCCCCCTCCCCCCCCCCCCTTTTTTTTTTTTTTGGTCAGTGAAACTCCCTGGCAGGGCTCAACTTTGATGGAAAAAAAAAAAAGTCTTATCCCATTGCAGTTCCCATGTGGAGAGATTTTTTCCCTCAGGGTAGTAGTGGAACTAACTACCCTATCCTCACCCTGCTAGGTTAGTGACATCAAATCCAAAGCCAGCAATGCAATCAGGGCCACTTTATTTAATGATTTAGGTTTTGCATTTGTTGAGCTAATTAGCTGATTGAGGCAACTAATGGGTGTCTTTTGTACACTGTTGACTGGGCACCTTCTCCCCCACAGCCTGCCAGCTCTTTTGTTCTTGGTCCTCTGGTGAGTGGGAGCTGCTTCCCAGACAAACATATGATTCACACCACCCAGCATTCAGAAAGAGAGCCCCAGAGGCCATTATGCTAATCACCAGGTGCCCCAAAGAGGATGCATATCCACTTAAAACCCTGAATCTGACTAATTCTGTGTATTTGAATAAAGGTGCATGGGTAGAAGGCAGGGAGGGAGATTGGGTCCTAATTCATTTCTAGAATTTTTAATTCTGTGACTGCTTCTCTCCATGCCCCTAAGGTACAAAGTAAAAGCAATCTGCAGATGTTTTAAGGTATTAAATATTAAAATATTTAAGGAACTATTAGAACATGATGATCACATAATTAAATGGAAAACCCTATTAATGGCTATAATCATCTCTCTTATGTACTAAAATATTCCGTAAAAAGAATCCTTGCCATATGCTATTTTCATAAAGTTTTAAATTCTGCAGTCTAGTAAACAGCTCTTAACCAGTTGAGCCATTCTGAGCTTGTAACCTGGAAATTTGACTGTGTTACCTCTGCCTTCCATTAGCCGCATTTTTTTTTTTGTTTGTTTGTTTGTTTAATAAAAGAAGATGTTTGTTTGGTTGATGACTCAAATATAATGCTAGGCCTAAGGGTCATGTCTTACAAATCAAGTATTAGGAAGCTTCACTTCTCTCCATGATACCTCGCTGTCTGTACCGTAGGAATATGGGAATAATAATTGCAGATAATTTAATTTCCTTCCCAAACTGTTTTCATTTCATTGACTTTTTACTTAGTGAAAATCTACAGATGGCCCTCTTTCCCCCCACCCCTCGCCCCAAGGGACATTTTCTGCTGTCATTTATATTGACAAGTAAGAGCTATCTAGGGAAATCTTTGTCCTGTCCATATGACCCAGCTATTGTCCATCATTCGTCACATTAAAAGTCTAATTGTATAAACAGCCATGAAAACAGAACTCTTCTCAGTAAAACTGAAAATGATATGAACATAGTGTGTGAAAATATAAGTAAATAATGTTCCGCAGTAACACAAAGCACGTGATTTATTTTGGCTGAATTCTACCAGAAGTAATGCTTATGACAAAAGTGAAATCACTTCATATACTATTCTTTCCATTTGAGGATTCTAAATTAGACATTTTATTTGTAATTGAATACACAAACCTTGATTCTATTTATTTGCATTTTAGGTTACCAAAATGCTGCATTTTAATACTGTCAATGATTGAGATCTGTTTTGGGGATGAGATTGATGAGAGGAATTTTCACCCTCTGGTCAGTAAAGCCACATATTGTACAACTGCAAATTAAGTAGTACATTTTGATGATAGGTGTTTTTGTTCGGAAATAGAAAACCTTAAATGTATAAAATAAATTAAAATAATAAAAAAATGTTAATGGATACTTTGTAAAATAATCATTGGTTTATCTCTAAACAACTGTATCAAAATCCCTGCACTAAATAAAATTATGTTTTTCTAAAGCAGTGGGCCTCAAATGTAATTTGCATAGCAATTACCAGCAGTACTTGTTGATAGTAGTGGGAAATAATCATTGGGCCCTGCCTCTTGGGACTGCACTTAAGGGTGGATAGAGGCCCTAGCATCTGAATTTTACCCAACCTTCTAAACCCTCAGTGATTTAAATGCCAGACTTTTCCACACATTCCAAGGTCTGTATCCTCCATAGACTTAGGGAGTGAGCTGGTATTTTATGAAGGGTATTTGTGGGTCTAACATACCAAGCATGGTAGAATCAGAAATATACTTCTGCTACTGAGTCATTTATTATAGAATTGGCTAACACCAGTGTTTCTCTACCTGAATAGAGATTTTCTCAAGGGGGTGACACTAGAATTATAAATCTTTAATGTCGTTGGCAGTAAAAGCTTTATAAATTAAGAAAATTATGACTAAATTTTATTTGGTGAGCAGAATCAGGAATAAGCAAACATTCTGACTAAAGTTTCTATACTCAACTTTTTTTTTTTTTTGAGAGGTTTTTGCTATAGGGCACGTGTGCTCTCCAGAAAGACAGAGAGACAGAGAGATAGAAAGCGAGAAATCGCCCTCCCAGGGGATGGCCACGCCGCAATCCCTTCTCCTCCATTCTCCTCTCGGGATCTTGGGCACGCATGCACATATGCCCAGCGTGAGTTTAAGCCACCAGGTCCAGGACTTGAACCACGGTCAACTACATGGGAGTTCAGTGACATTGCCATTACGCTAACTGCTGGTCCATATACTCAACTTTTTGAGTGGAAGTTAGAAGACATTTTTAAAGCTGATTTGCAATGGTTTGAAGGAAAAGGGATATGAGTCTGGCTCCAGTTAAGTGCACCTTAACCCAAACCATTTACCTTATAAACTGTGGACAGATGTCACATTAATATTGTAGATCTAGGGACCAGCAGTTAGCGTAATGACTATGTCTCTGGACTCCCATGTAGTCGACCGTGGTTCGCGTCCCGGACCCAGTGGCTTAAATCTCATACCGGGCGAGTGTGCGTGCATGCCCAAGATCCCGAGAGGAGAAGGGGTTGCGGCGTGGCCATCCCCCCTGGGGGGTGATTTCCTGCTTTCTGTCTCTCTGTATCTCTCTGTCTTTCTGGCGAGCGCACGCACCCTATAGCAAAAACCTCTCAAAAACAAAAAGAAAGAAAGAAAAAAAAATTGTAGATCTAAAAGGCTTCTTGGTTCTCCTTTGCCAAGAAATGGCTAACTTCCATTTATCGAAAATGTGAACATTTAATAAAAGTGAAGCATTCACTTTAAGACCTATTAAGATCAAGTTGAGGATGCTTACACCTTGTCATGCAATTGTTTTCTAGCAGAAGAATCATTGAGAAATTTGAGATTGAGATTATTGTTACAACCTTAATGTTGCCCATCTTCTTCCACCCTCACTATAATAGAGAACAAAGAACGATGCATTTTATTTTCCATCTTAATTTTTTTTGAATAATGACAGTTTCAATTGTATTTTTTTAATATTTATTTGACTTTATTTTATTTTATTTTATCTTATCTTATTTTGACTAGAGAGGGACAGACAAAGAGAAAGAAGGAAAATGAGAAAGCAAGCCACCAGGTCCAGGGCTCAAACTGCATTCAGCTATGTGGGAGTCCAGTGCCCTTAACCACCACACCACCTGCCAGCCCCTGCCATCTTAATTTTATAGGTTCTCATCTTTACGATTTTTGTTTTCAATTTTCTTTTGGCATGTTTAAAATTCTTCTTTTATCTTAGTTCCCGAATTGAAGCTAAGTGCAGGTTCTTCCCCCTCTCTTTAGAGGAGCCTTATAGAACAATTACAGTTGTATCCCACATGACTAAGAAAGCAAATCTCTCCATCCTGAGGATTGTAGGTGGTGGATATTAAGTAAAAGGACATATTGCCAGTAGCCACTGGCCTAGAACCCCTATTCACTGTGTTCTATCTTTCTTTTTAAAAAATAACTGTTTAATTGTATTAATTGTCATTATGTTATTTATTTATTTATATTTTTGAAGTTGACTAGAGAGAAGGAAAGTGAGAAAGCAAGCTGCCAGGTTCAGGGCTTGAACCGTGGACAGCCATGTGGGAGCCCAGCTGCCTTAACTACTATGCCATCTGCCAGCCTCCTCCCACCATTTTTCTTTCTCTCTCTCTCTTTTTTAACGTACACTTTGTTTTTATTAACAACAGTTATCCCAGTGTGAATTTTCTGGGAACCTTCTGACATTGGAGGAATGAGGCCATTGTCCCAGCTGCCTATGGTCCCTAGGGAGTGATATGTCCACCCAGTCTGATCAGGGAAGGGGCAGGTTCCGTCATTGGGTCTCATAGGAATTACAGCACCACACCTGGTCTGGCAGCTTGAATGCTGGGCACTTCACACCCTCCAGTACTCAGAGTCATCACAAAAACTAACAGAAGGCTTAAAATTCAGTTTTAACATCTGTACCTAATTCAAAGTTATTGAAGTGCTTTGTTTTACTTGTGTCATTAGGCCTGCTTGAGTCAACTTCATGGTTAGTCTTGTAACCTAATTGACAGTGTCATCAAAAGGTCACATTATTTAAGTGGTGTAGACCCTTCCAAGGGTACCTACTTTTTCTGGTACCTACTCTGGTCCTTTTTTTTTAACATTGGTAATATGTATTTTTTTTTATGTATATGTGTATACTTATGCATGTAAGAGGGAGATAGAGAGAAATTCTCCTAAATAGGGTCTCCCTCACACCATGATCCCCTTTCCCAGCTCCTCAGGGTCCTGGGTGCCTGGACATTTGGTGTGTTTTACAGGCCAACTCAGGATCCGAACTGTAGTCACCAAATGGCTTCCAGCACTGTGGGGTGCTGTTGTTACTACTGTGCCACATTGGCTGGACATCTTACTTTGGTATATTAGGAAGAAAGTGAGTCAGATAAAATAACCTATTATTTTGTTGATTTATGTGAAAATTCAAAATATGTACTTATTCAAGAGGAAATATGACCCAGAGCCTTTGACATGGACTTGAACAATATACATAGTGGACAGTCTCTTTGATAAATGGTGCTGGGAAAACTGGATATCCTATGCAGAAAAATGAAATTGGATTATCTCACACCATATACAAAATTAAGTAAAGTGGATTAAAAATTTAAATGTAAGACCACAAATGTAAACTATTCAAAAGAAACCATAGAGGAAAAGCTCCACAAAATTAGTCTGGACAATATTTTGGGGGGATATGACCCCAAAATCACAGATAACAAGACAAATAAAGATAAATGAGATTACAGCAAATTAAAATGTTTCTGCACAGAGAAGAAGACAATAGACCAAAGAGATAACCCATAGAGTGGGAGAAAATATTTTCATACCACAGTCTGATAAGGAGTTATCCAAAATATGTTAAGAAACTCAGCTTGGTAGTAAGAAAACAATCTGTGGGCAAAGGAACTAAATAGACATTTCTCAAATGGAGACATATGAATGACCAATAGATATATGAGAAAAATGTTCAGCATCACTAATTATCAGGGAAATGAAAATTAAAATCACGGTGAGACATTACTCCATACCTATAAGAATGACTAATTTTTTTTTAATGGAAAATAAGTAAGTGATAATGTGGTTGTGAAGAAAGAGGAGCGCTTATACATTTCTAGTGGGAATGTAAAGTAAGATAGCCATTATGGAGGTTCCTCAAAAAGCTAAAAGTAGAGTTACTATATGATTTAGCAATATTTCTGCGTATATATACAAAATAGCTAAAATCAGTATGTCAAAGAAAAATCTGCACCGCATGTTCATTGCAGCATTATTCACAATGGCCAAGATATAGAATTAACCTAAATGTCCATTAGTGGATGAATAGATTAAAAAAAGTTAGTCACACACACACACACACACACACAGGAATACTCTTCAGCCTTAAAAAATGAAGGAAATGCTGACATTTAGACAAGATAGAAGGGGAAGCAGCAGTTAGCGTAATGGCTATGTCACTGGACTCCCACGTAGTCGACCGCGGTTCCCGTCCCAGACCCAGTGGGTTAAACCTCATGCCAGGCACGTGTGCATGCATGCCCAAGATCCCAAGAGAAGAATGGAGGAGAAGGGATTGCGGCGTGACCATCCCTCCTGGGGGGTGATTTCTCGCTTTCTGTCTCTCTGTCTCTCTCTGTCTGTCTGGCGAGCGCACGCGCCCTATAGGGAAAACCTCTCAAAAAAAAAAAAAGGATAGAAGGACATTATGTGCTAAGTGAGATGGGCCAGGCACAGAATGACAAATACTACATGATCTCACTTATATGTAGAATTTTTAAAAAGTCAAACTGCTAGAAGTAGAGTAGAATGGCGTTACCAGGGACTGAGGTGAGGGTGAAGGGAATGGGAAGTCCATTGACCGGATTTCAGTTAGGCAGAGGAATAAATTTTTCAGATGCACCTTATAGGATGGTGACCATAATTAATAATAATAATGTATATTTCAAAATAGTGAAAGTAATAGATTTTTTAATGTTTTTATTCCAAAAAATAATAAATATTTGAGGTGATGGTTATGTCAGCTTAATATTATCATTCCACTAGACATTCATAATCATTCCATAATAATATAATAATCATTCCATAGTGTATACATATATAAAAAACCACATTGTACCCAATAAATATATACAACTATTATTTGGGAGTTAAAAATGTAGGGACCAGAAGATGGCATAATTAATGGTTACATCACTGGATTCACATGTAGTCAACCATAGTTTGATTTCCAGACCCATTGGCTTAAAACTCACATCAGGTACCT